TATCCACGATCTTGTCCTTTCGGTCATTACCCAGAGCTCATGACCAGAGGTGAGAGTAGGAACATAGCCTGAGGGTAAATCGAGAGTTTTGCCTTTCGGCTCAGCTCCTCTTCACCACAACGGTCCGATACAGCGACCGCATCATTTGTACTTGGCTCCAAAAGTGTAAAGATGAAGGCTGATTATGAAGGACCTGGTTACGCCAAATTGTTGTAGGGAGAAGCTGCAGTGGACTTTCTTTCAACCCACTGAATAAACAAAGGGGGAGTTGCCAGAGACTTTCCTTTTTCGTGAACTTTTCCTTCAGATTGATAAAATTGATAAGTTGTTGTGATCGCTATGGTTAAGTTTTGATTCGGTCAGAATCTGGTGCCCCACACATGTATACTTTCAGTACAATCTGTTAATGCTAAACCATGAGACGCACACGCACCTTATACAATTCTACACGTAGCTCATTTGTCCTACACTGTCATTCGAGGAACCTGCGTTTCCAAACTTGTTCTCCTTACAGACTTCTTGGGACTTCGCAAAAGTTTTTCACAAACTTGCTAAACCTTCTCTTCTGATGTTGATGTTGGTACCAGATCCTTTAGTCCTGCATAAACAACCTACAGCACCTCTTCAAATTTTTGGTACCAAGTCCAGATTTGTTTTGCCAGTCCGTGAAGCTTTCCCAAATGTTGCGTTGAAGCTGCACAGTCTCGGGTGAGTGATTTTAAGAAGCAAAATGATTTCTCTATAGGAATGAACAGCTCAACCTGAAAACTACGGAAGCCGAGAGGGGTCACAACAAACGCAAACGCCGCAACAAATACAAATGCGACAACACAACAAAAAGCCACAACACACCAAAAAAAGCCACAACGGAAATGACCGCGGGACTCTATTTTAATGCAAACGCCGCAACAAACGCAAACGCCGCAACAAATCAAAAAGCCACAACAGAAGTGACCGTGGGACTCTATTTTCCGATGGACCGATCAAGCAGCAAGTGAAGAAGAAGAACTACAATGTGAAAAGTAAAGGAACGGAGAAGTTGGAAACGTAACTAAAAGTAATTTATTGTTTTATCATTATTCGTTTCTCGTTGTAGTTCTTCTTCTTCACTTGCCGCTTGATCGGTCCGTCGGAAAATAGAGTCCCGCGGTCACTTCTGTTGTGGCTTTTTAATGTGTTGTGGCTTTTTAATGTGTTGCGGCATTTGCGTTTGTGTTGTGGCGTTTGTATTTGTTGCGGCGTTTTTACTTTAAAATAGAGTCCCGAGGTAATTTCCGTTCTGGCTTTTTTTTTAGTATGTTGCGGCTTTTTGTTGTGTTGTGGCTTTTTTGATGTGTTGTGGCTTTTTGTTGTGGCTTTTTGTTGTGGTGTTGGTATTTGTTGCAGCGTTTGCATTAAAATAAAAGAGTCCCACGGTCATTTCCGTTGTGGCTTTTTTGGTGTGTTGTAACTTTTTAATGTGTTGTGGCTTTTTTATGTGTTGTGGCTTTTTAATGTGTTGCGGCGTTTGCGTTTGTTGTGACCCCTTTCGGCTTCCGTTGAAAACAGAACAAAAATAAAACATTACATATAAATTCTTGATCTGTTTCTGTGCATTCTGTGAAAATTTTAGGCTATTTCAACAAGAATTGCCAAAGTGATCGGCCTGCGAAATGATGTCCGATTTTTTGTGACACTCTGTATGTTTATGTTTATGTACAGTTAGAGTTCTGTATGAGAGAGAGCAAAGTCTGAGGGCTGCATCCAAACACATGCACTTTACACTTTACACTTTACACTTTACACAGGTTAAAGTGCCTCTGACAGGTTGGACTCATTTGACTAAAACAAACTTAAGATCTTTACATGTAAGATTTTACCAAAACTTTTACTATTTCATTCTCAGTTTGGCCATTTTTTAATTAATTTTTATTTTTATTTTTAGAGCTGTGTTCGAAAGTCCACACCGTCATTTTCAGGAGTGTCCGAAAAAGTAGCGCACTCAAAATTTCCCACAACGCACCTTGAAAAGTCGTCGGCATCGGTGGTTTGGCAAACTTTTTGGACAGAATTCACCCCCATTCAACATATTTTTTTCAACTTTTGCTTCTTGATTTGATTAAAACAGTGATTTATTTTTACAGCAGGTATTATCCAGATTAAAAACAAATTAGAGAATCTTAAAAATCATTTAAAAAATCATACGTACTTTAAGATCTCGTCATTATAAACACGTGTGGACAGTATATCGATATCGGTGGTTCTTGTTTCTGGAGTTTTTGTGTGTGTTTTTTTTTTCTTCTAATTCTTCCTCGGTTTTGTTTGGCTAAAATCTAATTCTGATTCTAAATTATTGAAGGGCTCGAGGAGACAGAGGAAGTCCTGATGTGGAGGGTCGCTCTCCACAGCAGGACACAGGAGCAAACAGAACCACGTCATGAACTAAAGGTTTAAACGTGCATCTGTTTATAAAGACTCATCCTGTTCCTCTCTTCTCTTCTCCATCAGTCGCTCAAGTAAAATTCAATTAAATTCAATTCAAAACGCGCCTTTTCTCTTTGGCATTTGTGCATTTTTATTATTTTAATTCTGTTTGTTTTGCTTATCGTTTGTTTTATTCCATTATAAATGTTGTTCAGCACTTTGGGAAGCTTTGGTTGTTTTAAATGTGCCACACAAATAAATCTGATTTGATTTAATCCTTCCAGAATATGTTTTATATAACCGCGCATAACTTTACAACCATAAAAGATAGAAACTTACTTTTTCCCCCTTTGAAAGATAAGACTTTCGACTTTCCGTGCATATCTCCGACATTATCCTACGTCACTCACATGCTGCATGATGACGTCAGGAAAACAAGCGTCCAAAAGGAACTCTGTTCCTATATATACATATGCATATTATATAATATTGATTAGACGAGTAAATCCCCTGAGTTTCACGTGAGGAACCTGGGGTTAAATCCTCATCCTACGGTGTGTATAGTGTGTGTGTACTATGATGTGTCTATTAGTGACGGGCAAATGAGTCAGAGCTCCGGAGCACGTCTCGTTCTTTCTGAAACAAATCCGGAAGCACTGCCTCGGAGCTCGTCTCGCAGCAGCCGCTCACGTGACCAAAGTGTGGAAGTGTCGGTCCCTCCCCCGACTGCTTCTCTCTGCGTGTCAATCGCTTCAGTGTATCGAAGCGTTTCATTGGCTCGGCGAATGTTCCGCTCTGCGATTGGTTCAGAGCTTCAGAGTGTTCGGCGCACTTCTGTGGTTTGACAAGCGCTAAACTGCTACAGTATAAAAGATGCACCAATATTTCTTAAAAATGTTGGGTAGTGAGGAGTATTGTGTGACGTTAGTGGTGATTTTGGCGATTTTTGGCATTTGTTTCATTTTCGATGGCATCTACAAGTGGAAAAAATCGATCCATGGTTTGGGATCACTTTGAACAAGGTAACACCTTTTCTTACTTACAGCAGCTGTTTATGTTGCTCTTTACATATTATTTGAAATCATCATTATTATTATTGTTGTTGGTACGGTGTCGCTCTGCACACACGTATTGTCTCACACTAACAATACTTCATCGATGCTGAGACACCTGCGTGCCGATGGTTAAATTTGTCCACTAGAGGTCAGTGTTTCTCCGAGGCCTCAGACACATTGAACCATTTGAGACGATATTGCGACTGAGGTGTCAAAGCTTCACGAGGCTCCATTCACCCATCACTAGTGTCTATATATATATATATATATATATATATATATATATATATATATATATATATATATATATGTACTATAATGTGTGTAGATATACTGGATTGTATGTACAATGTGTGTACAACAATCAAGGATTACATTTAAAATTTAAATTGTATTAAATTATTCCAGTGGTTTGAAAAACTCTTAATTGCAAATATTTGAGTTGAACTGAATGACCACTTCTAATTCAGCTGTTATCAAAAAGTACAAATAAATTCTGGATGATTGTGACTTGTAAGTTCATGAAGTTCATGAAAATTCTGGTAATTTATTCGGGTTTACAGTGTAGATTAGATCATCATCTTGGGTAAAAAGAAAAAAAAACTACTCCTACTTAAAAATAACTAAGTGAAATGCCCTGGATTTGTGTAGCACCTTTAAAACACCCAAAGTGCTTTAAATTTCATTTTGTTAAATATTTTTACAGTCAAGTCAGGGGTGTCCAAACTTTTGACACCAAGGACCAGATTTGGAAACATTTGTAGTAGAAGGCTGCAGACTCGTGGTCAATACTAATAAATAGATGCACTTGATATAGATTTATTAGCGCCACTGTACCTAAAAAGGTCTGAAACTTTAAATTTTACTGTGAAAAAAATGCGGTTTAATTGTAGTTTAAAGGTCCAATATTACACTGTTTTCTGATCTGTGTTTTAATTTCGTTTACTCATGAAAACAAACAAACCAGGAGTTGTGTTTTGTTTCATTCACACATGATTTAGGCTGAGTTCTTCTCTCAAACAGAAAACACTTAATTCCACCTTGTGATGTCATGAGGTGATACAGGAAGAGCTCCACTGCGTTTTGAAACTCCACACACCTTCACTTGAATCTTTTGGAGGATTTCAGACCTGGAATTTCCGATTGCTACTGAACTAAATTTAAAAAGCGATGTTAACCTGAAAAACAAACTACCGCTTCATGACATCACAAGGTGGAACAGCGCGTTTTGAGCTTTGGAAATGCAGAAAGAGTTAAACATGTGTGAATGAAACAAGTCCAGGTCTGTTTTTGATGAGGAAACAACATTAGAACGTGACTTTAAGCTCACAAGAGTCAGTTTTGTGTAATATAAGACCTTTAAATTATTATCTGATGAGGTCCACTTGTATTTTTCACTTTTTGGCCACTGAGATTTATCTTTAAAACAGTAAAAATCAAAGTTTTCTGTAAAGACTTTGCTACAGGATGAGCACAGAGCAGCCACATCCACACGGGCGCACACGGACAGCGGCAGGCCTCCGCACACAGGGGGCGCCGTACCTTCCGGTCGGGCACCTCCAGGGGTCTCCAGCCGTTGGCGCGGAGCTGGTGGAGCTCGTCGAACTTCAGGCTGATGTTCTCGATGGAGAGCTGGAGCATGTCCCAGAACCCGGCCAGGTCCGAGGCCACGGGGCGAGGGTGCACGCTGTGGTTCTGAGGGCACAGACAAAACAATCGGCTGTTTAAAGCTGCACTGTGGAACTTTTCTGTAGGAGGGTTCGTCAAACGCTTCTCTCTATGGAGATGTTATCACTTTGTCTGGAATGTTTCACAGTGTGGTGTTAAACCTTTCTGATTTCACGGAGACCAAACCAGAGTTACAGGTCAGATCTGTGGAAAGGCGATGCCGATCACAGTCAGAACCTGTTTTTTGAGGTATTTTTGAGCTTTAAAACCACCTGTAATTGAATAAATGTTAAGTAGAGATGTTTAACCCTTCCAGATTGACATGTTTTATATAACCACGCATAACTTTCCAACCATAAAAGGTAGAAACTTACTCTTTTTTTCTGAGAAAAGCTGAGAAAAGTAAAGCCAGGCTGATGCCACCTAGTGCCTCCACTCAATTTCATTTCTCTCCATCAACTAGGTCAAGAATCAAAATACACTAGACCAGGGGTGTCAAACTAATTTTGGTCCGGGGGCCGTATCCAACCGGCTTTGATCCCAAAGTGTCCGGATCAGAAAACTCATGACATATAAACCCCCAAAATAACAATAAGTTCAAATATTTGTGCAGAGAAACACAAATCTATTACAGAAATCTTTTTTAGTTGATGAACTCTTTCTTTTACAAAATATTATAATATTATGAACAACCTGAAACTTTAAGAAAAATGTAATTTCAACACAATGTTTTAACATGAACTTGTGCAAACAGGAATAAGTCCATTTTTGTTGGAAAATCCTGCACTCGGCTCCACTTTTCTCATTTTGGACATTTTGTTGATGAGGGTGTCACGGTCAACAGTCAAAACGATCGTCCTTTAAGAGCGTTTGGAAAGAACAATATTTTGAATTATTTTTAACTATATTTTAATAGAAAATATAATTAAAATATATTTGTAGAAAATCAGCCGAGGGCCAGATTAAAGGTCTTGGAGGGCCGGATCTGGCCCCCGGGCCGTATGTTTGACACCCCTGCTGTAGGCACTGCTCTGTCTGAGGCTTTGTTAGACTTTAATCTGAGCTTTATTTCAACACAGTCTGACCAGAAAGAGTGGATTCAGCTGGAACTGCAACAGGTGAGATGATTTGTGGTGTTAAACAAGTCGGTGTTTTTGCTGCGATTCTCGTACAGTTTTTTGGAAGAAGTCCCGTCCCTCCTGCGAGCGTTGTGAGTTTGAATAAAAGAGACGTTTGAAACTCACCAGGTTCTCCTCACAGAGCTCCCTGAACTGTTGGAACTTCTGAGACATGAGGAGCTGAGCGCTGCCCACCGCACTGCGCATCTTACCCAGGACTGAAGACAGGGAAAAAAGGAGGGAGAGAAGGAGGAAAAGGGTGAGAGGGATGGAAGACATGGTTAGTTTAGTTTATTTCCCATTTTAAGGAAAAAAACAAAACTAAAACATTGTAGGTAAACATGTGCAGATACAGACACAGGAGTAAATAAAGTTCATAGTTTCAGTGTTATATACGTGAAATAAACACACAGTCTTCGAGTTGGGCGTTCTCTCTCAGGTCCTCATATAGTTCAGTCCAGTTGTTATTAAATGAAAAATAAACCCACTGTCTCTGGGAAGGCGTTTTCTCTCAGGTCCTCCTTTAGTTCAGTATAATTGTAGAGTTATTTCTATAATTTAAATATAAACCCACTGTCTTTGGGGAAGGCGTTTTCTCTCAGGTCCTCATATAGTTCAGTGTAATTATTATTAATATAAATTAAATATGAACGCACTTTCTTCGGGTAGGGCGTTCTCTCTCAAGTCCTCCTTTAGTTCAGTATAATTTTTATTGCTATAATTGAAATAAACCTATAGTGCAGAATAAATGTTGTGTTATTTGTGTAATTTAAATATAAACCCACTGTCTTTCGGTAGGGCGTTCTCTCTCAGGTCCTCGTATAGTTCAGTGTAATTGTAGAGTTATTGGTATAATTTAAATATAAACTCACTGGCTGTGTCCGAATGTCCACTCTTTGGCTACGTTCAGACTGCAGAGCTTAACGCTCAATTCAGATTTTTTTGTGAAATCCGATGTTTCTGCGAGGTTGTTCACATTTCCAGTTAAATGTGACTTGTATGTGACTCCAGTGTGAACATTAAATGGCCCAAAAGTGTCCCACATGTGACACTGGAGACACGACGACGTCAACCGCAGCGAGCGTCTCTGTGTTTACGGAAGTTGTCCAAACATGGACGGGAACAATGAGCACTTGGAGATTTTAAAGTTCCTCTCGTACCGGAGCCAGAACATGAACAACTTACTTGTTTTAAGGAGGAGATTGAGAAGGAGAAGGACGAGGTTTTTGGCCGTGGTGTTTTGTGGGGCAGCGGCAATCCGTTGAAAGGAACGTGTGGATGTGGAGACGGAGCCAAGAGTGGTGAGTGGTGATGTGCTTCGCTTCAGTAACACAGAGTTCATTAACAATTTTCGCCTACTTCAGTGCAGAATAGTGACGTTTGTGTCTTGTTGATAACGTGTAGGTGGATGAATGCACTTTGGACGTTCAGACTGAAGTCACATGTCAAAAGATCAGATATGTGTCGGTTTCAGGACCACATATCGAAGTGTCCTGGGTCACATTTGAAAAAATCGGATCTGTGTCGTTCAGACTGTCATTAAAAGATCAGATACAGGTCACATAGAGGCCAAAAAATCAGATTTGGGTCACTTCAGGCTGCAGTCTGAACGCAGCCTTAGTTCCTAACCTCTCACAGACCCGCACTCTTTGGCCCCATTCACACTAGTTCGTATTCGAGTCGTTTTTTGTTGTAGATACAGTGTTCATTCACATTAATCTGATTGAAAACGGCTTCAGAGACGGAACGATCTGGTGCGTCCAGCTCCCACGAATTCATGTTCGTACAGATCTGATCCGGCACCGTGTGGACTCCTGAAAACACTGACTCTGATGTAGGTCGAAGTAATTCACCGCCAAAACATTAAGAGGCTAGAATATTTGTCCATTCATATAAACGTGTGTCTGTGTGTACGACCTGCAGACGTATAATCTCTGAAAAGTTTTACATGAACCATCTCCAACACGACAGAAACACAGAACAGACTCACCATCAGCAGAACACCCCTCTGTCACAGAAAGAACACTCATACTCCACTGAGTCGTGTCCTTTAGTCCGACAGAAGCAGAACAGCATCAGCGCACAAGGAGAGAGCTGTTTTTTTTCAGCGCTTAGTTTATACAAATAAGTCATGTGGTTTTAAGTTTTGTTTCTGTAAGACGTAAACAAATGTGCTCAAATTTGTGTGGATAGGGAAGGATTGCGGACGTAGAAATGACATGTCTGGACGCAGATCGTTTCTGATACGGTGATTCGTTTCGGCGTAAACGTAGTCTTTAGCGCCCTCTACAGTGCACTCACTTAAAGAGATTTGAACACACAGCTCACAGCAGTCAGGTCACGTGAACTCTGGCGTCTGGGTGAAAAAAAAGTCAGCCAAACTTTGATAAAACTTGATTTCTATCGTAAATAAAGATCAGATCAGACTGACACAAGTATTTATGGACTAATAACAATCAGACGAGTTTTTGTCACGCTGGATTTCACATAAACAGACTGGATCATTTGCTTTTTATCTAAACAATAAACTAGAGCTTTTATCTGCTTCATTCAGTCGGGTTGTGTCTAGTTAAACACCTGTTACTCTACGCCGCTGTTTTCCCGACTCTCGCAGACGCCCACTACTTTTCACGGTGCATAGTGGGAAATTTTAAGTGCACTACTTTTTCACCAACTGGACGTTCGGACACGCTTGAAAATGACGTGACTCCTAAACGGCGCTCGAAGTAGGGAATAGTGCGGACATTCGAACAAAGCATCTGTCTTTGGGGAGGGCGTTCTCTCTCAGGTCCTCGTATAGTTCAGTTTAATATCTGGGTTTCACGTGACGTCACAGGGCTACGTTTGTGAGCGCGCAAAATCAGATGGAGGCAGGAAGTGAACTGACTGGAGGAAAATGCCTCTGGGTTGTGTAGTTTATGGCTGTGTCAATCGTTCTAACCGAGAGAAGGAAAAGCGATTTTTTTAGAGTACAGAATACAGTCGTCCACAAAGGTCAGAAATGGGAAAAGCCGACAGAACAACGCCGTAAAAAGTGGATTACAAACTAGGGACGGACATTCGATGAAACTGTCTTAATCGATCGTCGGAAGAATTAACGATCGATTATCGATTAATCATTAACGTTTTTATATTAAAATGATCATCATTATTATTACTATCTGCACTACTAATCTGCATAAATAAATTCAACTTTACGACATATAAACCGTAACCACTCTAGAGCCACATCAGCCCGTTTGACATTATAATGTGTTTAATTCAGTTTTGTTCAACTCTCACAGAAACAAAACTTAAAACCGCATCACTAATTTGCATAAACTAAATGAAGATAAAAAACTACAGCTCTTGTGTCGCTGATGTGGTTCAATTTCTGTCGGATTATGACTCAGGTGAATACAGGTTAGTGTGACCAGATTTGTGTTTGTCAAAACCAGGACACCGTACAGAGGGTGGGAAGTGGGGCCTCGTCATCGACATTGAGCGACTCTCACCTGGTAAAGCTGGACACCGAAACATATGTTCCTACTTTGTTCACTGTGCACATGGACTCACACTTGTCCCGAACGCAACGGAAAGCCTGAAATTTCTTGTACAAATCATCGTTAAATACACATTTGTGCTTCAGTTCGTTACAGACTGACCCACTGTTTGTGTCTCGCTCCTTCTGATGCAGAGACACATGTACACACCTGTTTGGTCACGACACACAACAACATACATTCAGTTTGTTGATTAAAATGAACGTAATCCATGAAATTCTTAAAGATCAATTATCGATTAATCGATTAATCATGCCCATCCCTATTACAAACCTACGTCTGCGGTCGGGAGGAGCAGAATCCGCAAATGCTCGTGTCTGCAGTGACACTTCGACAAAGGTTTGTTACAAAGCTAAATAGTTTTTTGTGGTTTACCTAAACATAAACGAATCATTAACGACTAACGACGTTTGTTGACATTAAGTAGTTCAGATGGAGGTCACTGTCGATACACTGCAGTTTTTCCCATAACGTCTATACACATAAAATAAGAGAAACACTCACCCCGGCAAAGACCAAACGATAATCATCATTTAGGCGTTTCGCACCAAGGTTGAGGACCCATCCACTGACAAAAAAAGTTATATGCCTCCAAACTTTTGTACTTTGCCTTCATCTGTTGTCTGGTGTAGAACGACGTCTGAAGAGCTAAACAGTTCGTGATCTCCTCTGCCTCGATTGTCGGCAAATCTTTCACTTTGGTCGAAAATTTCTATAAGATCAGGGTCACGTCTAATATATTTGTCGACTAACTGCTTGTACTTTTGCCTCGCTACTGGCTCTAAATCCTTACAATAAGAACTCTTCTCCATATCTGTGTTCTCCAGAGCCGCGTTTGTTTGTCTGTTTGTCTTCACTTCCTGCCCTCCACCTGAAATTCACGCGTCATCGGTGTAATTTAAATATAAACGTACTGTCTTCGGGGAGGGCGTTCTCTCTCTGGTCCTCTTCGATCTGCCTGCACCAGCCCTCCATGCGCTCGGTCTCGGCCTGGAGCAGCTTCAGGAACCAACGTCCGTCTCTCTGACACACCGACCGCTGCACCGCCTACAGGACAACACGGGGATTACACACACACAGTTTTATTTAAGGCACATTTTAAAATCGAGGTCAAGTAGTCAAGTTTATGCTCCCACCCTCAACCCAAAACAAGTACAGCAGATCAAATCCTCCAGCTAAGAAAGTTCTGACCAAGACTGAAGGGACACTGAAGGACACGTCAAATGCAGAGGACTAATTTCTCGAAGGTTAAAGAGGGACCGAGGAGAAAGAAGGAACCTGATTTGTCTGTTATTAATGTTCATGTCTTAATTTACAGACAAAATAGTAAAAAATAAAAACACCAGGATCATGTAGAGCGGGTTAATCCGAACATTTTAAGACCAAAACGGTGAGTCTGACAGAATCCGTGTGTCATTCATTCATTCATTTTTCAAAATAAAACCAAAAATAAGAAAACAAACAAAAAATATATATATACTATTTTCTTTATTCTTTAGTTTCCCATTTCATCCAGTTTTGACACTTATGGACTAAACCGGGACTGAACTAGGACTAAACAAGGACTAAACAAGGACTAAACCAGCACTAAACTGGTCAGTCCTGCTCTCAGTCCCAGTGTCAGTCCTGGTCTGGTCCTGTTCTCAGTCCCAGTCTGGTCCTGGTCCCGGTCTGGTCCTAGTCTGGACCCTGTCTCGGTCCTGATCACCCGACAGTCTACGCATCTACCCGTCCCCACACTCAATCCTGGTTCAGTCCTGATTTAGTCCTAATTCAGTCCTGGTTTAGTCCTGGTTCAGTCCTGGTGTAGTCTTGGTTTAGTCCTGGTGTAGTCCTGGTTTAATCCTGGTTTAGTCCTGGTTTAGTCCTGGTGTAGTCCTAGTTCAGTCCTGGTTTAGTCCTGGTTTAGTCCTGACTTAGTCCTGGTTTAGTCCTGGTGTAGTCCTGGTTTAGTCCTGGTGTAGTCCTGGTTTAGTCCTGGTGTAGTTCTGGTTTAGTCCTGGTTAGTCCTGGTTTAGTCCTGGTTTAGTCCTGACTTTGTCCTGGTTTAGTCCTGTTTAGTCCTGGTTTAGTCCTGGTTTAGTCCTGGTGTAGTCCTGGTTTAGTCCTGGTTTAGTCCTGACTTAGTCCTGGTTTAGTCCTGACTTAGTCCTGGTTTAGTCCTGACTTAGTCCTGGTTTAGTCCTGACTTTGTCCTGGTTTAGTCCTGATTTAGTCCTGGTTTAGTCCTGTTTAGTCCTGGTTTAGTCCTGGTTTAGTCCTTAGTCCTGTTTAGTCCTGGTTAGTCCTGGTTTAGTCCTGGTTTAGTCTGGTTTAGTCCTGGTGTAGTCCTGGTTTATCCTGGTAGTCCTGGTGTAGTCCTGGTTTAGTCCTGTTTAGTCCTTAGTCCTGGTGTAGTCCTGGTTTAGTCCTGGTTAGTCCTGGTTTAGTCCTGGTGTAGTCCTGGTTTTGTCCTGGTTTAGTCCTTTAGTCCTGGTTTAATCCTGGTTTAGTCCTGGTTTAGTCCTGGTGTAGTCCTTTAGTCCTGGTTTTAGTCTGGTTTAGTCTGGTGTAGTCCTGGTTTAGTCCTGACTTAGTCCTGGTGTAGTCCTGGTTTAGTCATGGTGTAGTCCTGGTTTAGTCCTGGTTTAGTCCTGACTTAGTCCTGGTGTAGTCCTGGTTTAGTCCTGGTTTAGTCCTGGTTTAGTCCGGCATCGCAGTTTAAGTCAGGGAAACGGGAAACGGTCATTATCTGTTTTTTCTTTTTTTTTTTTTTTTTTATTTTATAAAAACAAAGGAACCAACGACACACGGATGATTTGAAATTCTTGCCATATCGACTTTGTTTGATCCTCTTTTAGTCCTGGTCTGGTCCCGGCGTTTGTTCTCTTCTCACCTCGAGCAGGGCGGAGCTGCTGTAGTCCATGTCCAGCGTATCCTCGGACACGCTGTCGATCCAGGGGTCCGGCGGCGGCAGGATGGACGGGTCGAAGCCCACGTCGTCGTACTCGTCGGAGGCACAGGCGTGGTAGTGGTTCCCTGAGCCCTGGATGCTGACGGTGGAGGTGGAGGGCGGAGCTTCTCTGGACTCGCGGGAGAACTGCCTGGAGGGAGGAGCATCTCTGGACTCTCTGGAGAACTGCCTGGAGACCGGCCCCGACGACAGAACCTCCAGATCCGTGTCCGAGGTCAGCGGGGTGTCCAGCAGGTCGGCGATGTCCAGGTCCGCCTGAAAAAAACCAGCACCAGAGTGAAGGGGAAACAGACGTGTGTATTATTACTACGACCGGGCACGTTAACTAATTAATTCTTTTTTTTTTTTATTATTATTATTTTTTGTGCAGACAAATCAGATGCCACAGAAGTAGAAGAAAAAATAAAAAAATAATATAATTAACAGTAATATAATTTTAATAATTTGTCTCCAGAGAAAAGAAAAATAAATAATACCTAAATAATATAAAGAAGAAAAATAAATAAATAAATAAATAAAAATACACACATATACACACATATATAAATACTAGGGATGGGCATTCGATGAAATTTTCTTAATCGATCGTCAGTTCGATTAATCCATTTTTTTAAAGATCATCATTATTACTTCTGCACTTCATCTGCATGTTTGTTTAGCATATCATAACGACTGCATGTTTTGTTTAAGTGTTGCAGTTTTGTTTAGTTCATTGCAGTGTTTGTTTAGTTCACATTTGTTTGTTTAAATCAGCAGGTGTTTGTTTAGTTTAGTGGCAGGTGTTTGTTTAGTTCAAGTGTTGCAGGTGGTTTGTTTAGTTCAGTGTTGCAGGTGTTTTGTTTAGTTCAGTGTTGCGTACGGTGTTGTTTAGTTCAGTTGCAGGTGTTTGTCATTTAGTTCACCTGGCAGGTTTGTTTTTAGTTAGTTCATGTGTTTGCTTTATTTCTGTGCAGGTGTTTTTTGTTTAGTTCAGTGTGCAGTGTTGTTTGTTTCATGTAATGCATGTTTTTTGTTTGTTCAGTGCTGACCCACTGTTTTGTTGTTTATGTTTGTTCAGAAGTGTTGCAGGTGTTTGTTTTAGTTTCAGTTGCAAGGTGTTTGTTTTAGTTCAGTTTGCAATTTTGTTTTGTTGTGTTGCAGGTTTTGTTTAGTTCAGTGCTGCAGGTGTTTGTTTAATTCAACGTTCGTGTTTGTTTAGTTCAGTTGCAGGTGTTTGTTTAGTTCAGTGTTGCAGGTGTTTGTTTTTTAGTTCAGTGCTGCAGGTGTTTTGTTTAGTTCAGTGTGCAGGTGTTTGTTTTAGTTCAGTTGCAGGTTTTTTTGTTGCAGGTTTTTTTAGTTCAGTGTTGCAGGTGTTTGTTTAGTTTCAGTGGTTGCAGGTGTTTGTTTGTTCAGTGTTGCAGGTGTTTGTTTAGTTCAGTTGCAGGTGTTTGTTTAGTTTCAGTGTTGCAGGTGTTTGTTAGTTCAGTGTTGCAGGTGTTTGTTTAGTTCAGTGTGCAGGTGTTTGTTTAGTTCAGTTGCAGGTGTTTTTTTAGTTCAGTGTGCAGGTGTTTGTTTAGTTCAGTGTTGCAGGTGTTTGTTTAGTTCAGTTTGCAGGTGTTTTGTTTTGTTCAGTGCTGCAGGTGTTTGTTTAGTTCAGTTGCAGGTGTTTGTTTAGTTTCAGTGTTGCAGGTGTTTGTTTAGTTCAGTGTTGCAGTGTTTTGTTTTAGTTCAGTGTTGCAGGTGTTTGTTTAGTTCAGTTGCAGGTGTTTGTTTAGTTCAGTGCTGCAGGTGTTTGTTTAGTTCAGTGTTGCAGGTGTTTGTTTAGTTCAGTGCTGCAGGTGTTTGTTTAGTTCAGTGTTGCAGGTGTTTGTTTGTTTAGTTCAGTGTTGCAGGTGTTTGTTTGTTTAGTTCAGTGTGCAGGTGTTTGTTTAGTTCAGTGTTGCAGGTGTTTGTTTGTTTAGTTCAGTGCTGCAGGTGTTTGTTTAGTTCAGTTGCAGTGTTGCAGGTGTTTGTTTAGTTCAGTGTTGCAGGTGTTTGTTTAGTTCAGTGTGCAGGTGTTTGTTTAGTTCAGTGCAGGTGTTTGTTTAGTTCAGTGTTTGCAGGTGTTTGTTTAGTTCAGTTTGTTGCAGGTGTTTGTTTAGTTCAGTGTTGCAGGTGTTTGTTTAGTTCAGTTTGCAGGTGTTTTGTTTAGTTCAGTGCTGCAGGTGTTTGTTTTAGTTCAGTGTTGCAGGTGTTTGTTTAGTTCAGTGCTGCAGGTGTTTTGTTTAGTTCAGTGTTGCAGGTGTTTGTTTAGTTCAGTGTTTGCAGTGTTTGTTTGTTTAGTTCAGTGTTGCAGGTGTGTTTGTTTAGTTCAGTGCAGGTGTTTGTTTAGTTCAGTGTTGCAGGTGTTTGTTTAGTTCAGTGCTGCAGGTGTTTGTTTAGTTCAGTGCTGCAGGTGTTTGTTTAGTTCAGTGTTGCAGGTGTTTGTTTAGTTCAGTGCTGCAGGTGTTTGTTTAGTTCAGTGCTGCAGGTGTTTGTTTAGTTCAGTGCTGCAGGTGTTTGTTTAGTTCAGTGTTGCAGGTGTTTGTTTGTTTCAGGTGCAGGTTTGTTTAGTTCAGTGTTGCAGGTGTGTTTGTTTAGTTCAGTGTGTTTGCAGGTGTTTGTTTAGTTCAGTGCAGGTGTTTGTTTAGTTCAGTGTGCAGGTGTTTGTTTAGTTCAGTGTTGCAGGTTTTGTTTAGTTCAGTTGCAGGTGTTTGTTTAGTTCAGTGTTGCAGGTGTTTGTTTTTCAGTGTTCAGTGTTGCAGGTGTTTGTTTAGTTCAGTTGTTGCAGGTGTTTGTTTTTAGTTCAGTGCTGCAGGTGTTTGTTTAGTTCAGTGTTGCAGGTGTGTTTGTTTAGTTCAGTTGCAGTGTTGCAGGTGTTTGTTTAGTTCAGTGTTGCAGGTGTTTGTTTAGTTCAGTGTTGCAGGTGTTTGTTTGTTTAGTTCAGTGTTGCAGGTGTTTGTTTAGTTTGCAGTTTAGTTGTGTTGCAGGTGTTGTTTGTTAGTTTCAGTGTTGCAGGTGTTTGTTTAGTTCAGTGTTGCAGGTGTTTGTTTAGTTCAGTGCTGCAGGTGTTTGTTTCAGTTGCAGTTGTGTTGCAGGTGTTTGTTTTTCAGTTGCAGGTGTTTGTTTAGTTCAGTGTTTGTTTGTTTAGTTCAGTGCAGGTGTTTGTTTAGTTCAGTGTTGCAGGTGTTTGTTTGTTTAGTTCAGTTTGTTGCAGGTGTTTGTTTAGTTCAGTGTTGCAGGTGTTTGTTTAGTTCAGTTGCAGGTGTTTGTTTAGTTCAGTGCAGGTGTTTGTTTTTAGTGTTGCAGGTTGTTTGTTTAGTTCAGTGTTGCAGGTGTTTGTTTAGTTTGCAGTGTTGCAGCAGGTGTTTGTTTAGTTCAGTGCTGCAGGTGTTTGTTTGTTTAGTTCAGTGTTGCAGTTCAGTTGCAGGTGTTTGTTTAGTTCAGTGTTGCAGGTGTTTGTTTAGTTCAGTGCTGCAGGTGTTTGTTTGTTTAGTTCAGTGTTGCAGGTGTTTGTTTTGTTTAGTTGTGCTGCAGGTGTTTGTTTGTTTAGTTCAGTGTTGCAGGTGTTTGTTTAGTTCAGTGTTGCAGGTGTTTGTTTAGTTCAGTGTGCAGGTGTTTGTTTAGTTCAGTGTTCAGTGTTGCAGGTGTTTGTTTAGTTCAGTGTTGCAGGTGTTTGTTTGTTTAGTTCAGTGTTGCAGGTGTTTGTTTAGTTCAGTGTTGCAGGTGTTTGTTTAGTTCAGTGTTGCAGGTGTTTGTTTAGTTCAGTGTTGCAGTGTTTTGTTTAGTTCAGTGTTGCAGGTGTTTGTTTAGTTCAGCGCTGCAGGGGGAGTCACTGATTTACCCAGATATTACTGGAAGAAAAATTGTGATTGGTCCATTTTTATTCCATTATAAGAAATATTAGTCCAAGTTTCTAACAATGATCTAGAAATTATTACTAGTGTCGTGTTTATTACTCACTGAATAAAAAATATTGAAAAAAAAATATTAGTAGTACAAAAATGTATTCAATATTTTTTCTTGAGCATTGGTAAATGGTCCCATTTTTCTACAGTGCTTTTCCACCTTCAATTCTCTCAAAGCGCTTTACCCATTTAGTTTAATTTAGTGTTTACATGTTCTTTTTAAAGCGGAATTTACTTTTATTTTATTCGGAATTAAAGCTCTAAACGTAAACGTGGCGAGTGTCAGGACATGGTAAAAAAACGATAAAAGAAACTTGAGTTCTAATCTGCTTTTCCTTCTGTCCTTGGAGTTGAATAAGAAGCAAAATCATGAATCACATTTATTTATTTATTTATTTATTCATATTGAATGATCCAAACTTTCTTTTTTAGTTTTTTTGGCCTCGTTGACAATTATTTAAATGTCTGAATCATAATTAAAATATGATTATCGGCAAAGTCCTTTTGTAAACGTGATCAACACAGCGCCACCTACAGGGAGATACAGTTCACTGGTTTGTTTTTCTTTCTTTTTCATTTGTGTCAAAACGTAGAGTGACATTTTTCAGTATACGTCATAAAGCTAACGCGCACTTCCTGATCATCTGACAGTAAAAGCCTGTGAAATTAGACACAGACAGAACAGAGGAGGAAACAGACATTTCTCTCCTCCCTCTCTTCTGTCTTCCCTCTCTCCTCCCTCCCACTTCTCTTCTTTCTCCTCTTCTCTTCTCCTCTGTGTCTCCTCTCTCTCTCCTCCCTCCATCTCCTCTTCTTTCCCTTCTCCTCCTCTCTTCACTTTCTCTCTCTCCTCTCCCTCCTTCCTCTCTCCCTTTCTTCCCTCTCCCCTTCATCTCTCCTCTCCTCTCCTCCCTTTTTTCTCTCTCCTCCCTCTCTCCTCCTCTCTCTATTCTCCCTCTCTCCTCTCTCACCACTCTTCCCTCTCTCCTCCCTCCATCTCTTCTTCACCTCCTCTCTCCTCCATCTTTCCTCTCTCTCTCTGCTCTCTCCTTCTCTCTCTCCTGTCCTCCCTTTCTTCTCTCTCCTCACCTCTCTCCATCTCTCCTCCTCTCCTCTTCCCTCTCCTCCCTCCCTTCTACCTCTCACTTCTCTCGCTCCTCTTCTCCCTTTCTTATCTGTCTCCTTCCCCCCTCTCTCCTCCCAAACCTCCTCTTTTCTCTCCTCCCTCTCTCCTCTCCTCCTTCTCTCGTCTCTCTTCTCTCCTCCTCTCTTTCCTCCCTCTCACCTCCTTCTGTCTCCTCTCCTAACTTTCTTTTCTCTCCTCATTCGCCTTCTCTCTCCTCTCCTCTCCTCTCCCTCTCTCCTCCCTCCCTCCCTCTTCTCTCTCCTCCCTCTCTCCTGTCTTGTTCCTCTCCTCCCTCTCTCCTTTCTCTCTTCCTCTCTCTATCCTCCCTCTCACCTCCTCTCCTCTCGCCTCCCTCTCTCCTCTCCTCCCTTACCTTCGCTCTCCTCCCTGCTGTCTTCTCTCTATCCTCCCTCTCTCCTCTCTTTCTCTCTCTCTCTCCTCCCTTTCTTCTCTCTCTTCCCTCTCCCCTTCATCTCTCCTCCCTCTCTCCTCCATCTTTCCTCACTCTCCTCCTTCTCTCCTCCCTCTCTCCTCCATATCTCCTCTCCTCACTCATCTCACTCTTCTCCCTCTCTCTCCACCCCTCCCTCTCTCCTTCCTCTTTCCTACCTCTCAACTCCTCTCCTCTCCTCCTCTCTCTCTCTCTCTCTCTCCTCTCTCCTCTCTCCCTTCCTCTCTCTCTCTCTCTCTCCTCTCTCTCTCTCTCTCCTCTCCTCTCCTTCTCTCTCTCTTCCTCTCTCCTCTCCTCCCTCTCTCCTCTCTCTCTCTCTCTCTCTCTCTCCTCTCCTCTCTCCTCTCCTCCTCTCTCTCTTCCTCTCTCTATCCTCCCTCTCTCCTCTCCTCCCTTACCTCCTCTCTCCTTTCCTTCTCTCTCTCTTCCTCTCTCCTCTCCTCCCTCTCTCTTCCTCTCTCTCTTCCTCTCTCTATCCTCCCTCTCTCCTCTCCTCTCCTCTCCTCTCTCCTCTCTCCTCTCTCTCTCCTCTCTCTCCTCCCTCCTCTCTCTCTTCCTCTCTCCTCTCCTCCCTCTCTCCTCTCCTCCCTCTCTCCTCTCTTTGTCCATATTTACAAAAATAAGTCAAATTCTTGCAAAGTAAAATACTCGAGTAGAGTTAAATCAGACATTAGGATCATAGTTTTACTTTCTTGCATAAACGTCTGTATTTTTTTTTTATTTTTTATTTTTATCACAAACAAATAAAAAACAAACCCTTGCTCGTGTGTGTTTATTTTTACCTGCACTGCTGCCGTCACGCTGTTGGAGCGCTGGAACCGGCGGTACCTGACCAGCAGAGGGAGCAAGAGGTCAGCACAAAAACACAACGGCCAAGTGATCCACAAGCACAGACATCAGACGTGACACCGGAGTTTGAATCGCTCCTGTCCGAACACGGCAGCATCACGCCGCTCGGACCTCACACGAACGCACACGGACGCACACGGACGCCGAACGCTGACTCCGAGAAGTGCCCAGTCCGGTTACAACTCAAGTCAAACACAACAAAACACAACACCAGTCCACTACTACACACAATCTGAGCTGCTGTAATGTGTGTCAGACTTTTCCACATTCAAAAAGACTGGATTTATTTTTGTTGTCCCTGTGTCAGATGCCCTCCCGTCCTCCCTGCGTGATGTGCTTGTGCGGCGCGGTTACATAAACACGGCGAGATAATGGAGCGAATTCTACAATAAGATCAACCGGAGATAATTATCCACCAGTCTGCTGTTTTCACGGCCGCTGAGAATCGTTACACATTTTGTATTAAAGATAGCTGGATGTTCTAAAGACAGAGAGGACGCGGAGAAGGAGGGAGGGAGGGAGGGAAAGAGAGACGAGTGAAAGAGAGAGGGAGAAAGAGACGAGGAGAAAAGAAAAGGAGAGAGAGAGAGCGAAGGCGTCCGAGCTCACAGCTGAGTGGGCGGATTGTGACCCATTACTTGGCAACAGGAAGTGAGTCAGAAAGAGCCGTTTCTGTGCATCATCGATGACAAAGAGAAACAAGTCTACACCTCGACCAGCGACCTTCCCCGAGGAGGAGGAGGAGGAGGAGGAGGGCGCCACGGCAACCACCACCAGAGGAGGTGAAGGAGGGCACCACGGCAACCATGACCTGAAGAGGAGGAGGGTGACTATGGCAACTACGACATGAGGAGGAAGGCGCTATGGCAACTACAACCCAACGCCACGGCAACTGCGACCTGAGGAACGCCACGGCAACCACGAAACAACGCCACAGCAACCACGACCTGAGGAACGCCACGGCAACCACGAAACAATGCCACTACAACCACAACCCAACGTCACTACAACCATGAAACAACGCCACTACAACCACAACCTGAGGAACGCCACGGCAACCATGACTTGAGGAAACGACCACGGCAACCACGACCCAACACCAGATCAACCACATCCCAACGCCACGGCAACCACGAAACAACGCCATGGCAACCGCGACCTGAGGAACGCCATGGCAACCACGAAACAACGCCACTACAACCCTGAACCAACATCACGGCAACTACGAAACAATACCACAACAATCACGACAACATGTCACAGCAACCACAACTCAACGTGGTCACGGTAACCATGACACAACGTGGTCATGGCAACCACAAAACAATGCTACTACACCAAAGACCCAACGCCAACAACCTCGACCCAATCCCACGACAACCATGACCAAACGTGGTCACAGCAACTATGACATGCCATGACAACCATGAACCAACACCACGACAACCACGACCCAACGCCACGACAACCAACAACCCCGACAACCACGACCCAACGCCACGACAACCACGACCCAACGCCACGACAACCACGACCCAACGCCACTACAACCACGACCCAACGCCACGACAACCACGACCAAACGTGGTCACAGCAACTATGACATGCCATGACAACCATGAACCAACACCACGACAACCACGACCCACGACCCACGACAACCACGACCAACCACGCCACGACACAACCACGACCCAACGCCACGACAACCATGACCCAACGCCACTACAACCACGACCCACGCCATGCAACCACGACCCAACACCATGACAACCACGATCCAACGGCACTGCATCCACGACCTAACGCCACGGCAACCACGACCCAACGCCACGACAATCACGACCCAAACGCACAACACGCCCACGACCAACCACGACCCAACAACACAACCACGACCCAACGACCACGACCCACCATGACAACCACGATCCAACGCCACTGCACCACGCCACGACAAACCACGACCCAACGCCACTCAACCACGACCCAACGCCACGACAACCACGACCCACGACAACCACGACCCAACGCCACGACAACCACGACCAAGCCACTACAACCACGACCCAACGCCACAACCACGACCCAACGCCACGCCACGACAACCACGACCAACGCCACGACAACCACGACCCAACGCCACTACAACCACGACCCACGACAACCACGACCCAACGCCACTACAACCACGACCCAACGCCACTGCCACACCACGACCCACGACAACCACAACCACGACAACCACCCACGCCACGACAACCACGACCAACGCCACGACAACCACGACCCCAACGCCACGACAACCACGACCCAACGCAACTACAACCACGACCCAACACGATGCCAACCACGACCCAACACCATGACACCACGATCCAACGGCACCATCACGACAACGCCACGACAACCACGACCCAACGCCACGCAACCACGACCCACGACCACGGACCAACCACGACCCCAACGCCACGGCAACCACGACCCAACGCCACGACAACCACGACCCAACGCCACGACACGACCACGCCACGGCAACCACGACCCAACACCACGACAACCACGACCCAACGCCACTACAACCACGACAAACGCCACGACAACCACGACCCAACGCCACCCAACCACGACCCAACACCACGACAACACGACCCACCACTACAACCACGACCCACGCCACGACACCACGACCAACGCCACGACAACCACGACCCACGCCACGACCCACGACAACCACGACAACCAACACCACTACAACCACGACCAACGCCACGCAACCACGACCCAACGCCACGACCAACACGACCAACCGTGACAACCACGATCCAACGCCACTGCATCCACGACCCAACGCCACGAACAACCACGACCCCAACGCCACGACCACGACCAACGACTGTCCACAACGCCACGCAACCACGACCCAAACGCCACGACAACCACGACCAACGCCACGACAACCACGACCCAACGCCACGACAACCACGACCCAACGCCACGCAACCACGACCAACGCCACACAACCACGACCCAACACCACGACAACCACGACCCAACGCCACGAACCACACCACACGACCCAACGCCACGACAACCACGACCCACGACAACCACGACCCACGACAACCACGACAACCACGACCCACGACAACCACGACAACCACGGACCAACGCCACGACAACCACGACCAACGCCACGACAACCACGACCCACGAACCACCAACCACGACCCACGCCACTACAACCACGACCAACACCACGACAACCACGACCCAACGCCACTGCACCACGACCAACGCAACCACGACAACCACGACCCACGACACCATGACAACCACGACCCACGCCACGACAACCACGACCCAAACGCCACGACAACCACGACCCAACGCACCACCCACGACCCAACGCACCCAACACGACCAACCACGACAACCACGAACCCAACGCCACGACACCACGACCCACGACACAACCACGACCCACAACCACGACCCCAAACGCACGACAAACCACGACCCACGACAACCACGACAACCACGACAACGCCACGCACGACCCAACGACCCAACAACCACGACCCACGACAACCACGACCCAACCCAACGCCACGACAACCACGACCCAACGCCAACGCCAAACGACCCACGCCACGACCCAACGCCACGACAACCACGACCCACGACAACCACGACCCACGCCACGACAACCACGACCACGACAACCCACGACCCAACGCCACGACAACCACGACCCACGCCACCAACCACGACCCAACGACCCACCGAAACCACGACCCAACGCCACGACAACCACGACCCAACGCCATACAACCACGACCCAACGCCACGACAACCACGACCCACCACGCCACGACAACCACGACCCAACGCCACGACAACCCACCCACGACCACGACCCACGACCCACGACAACCCACGACCCACGACAACCACGACCCAACGCCACGACAACCACGACCCAACGCCACGACAACCACGACCCAACGCCACGACAACCACGACCCAACGCCACGACAACCACGACCCAACGACACCACTGCCCAAACGCCACGGCAACCACGACCCAACGCCAACGGCCAACCACGACCAACGCCAACATGATCCAACGCCACAAACCACGACCCAACGCACAAACGACAACCACGACCCAACGCCACGACAACCACGACCCAACGCCACGACAACCACAACCCGATGCCACTCTAACCACAATCCAGCATCACGACAACCATAACCCAACATCACGGTAACCATGACTCAGTGCCACTACAATCACGCCCCCAGCGTCACGGCAACGTTACAATGACCACGACCCAACATCACGACAATCACGACCCAACGCCACTACAACCACGACCCAGTGTCACAGCAACCACGACCCGAGGAGGAGAACGACACTGTAACCATGACCCAGTGCCACTACAATCATGCCCCAGCATCACGGCAACGTTACGGTGACCACGACCCAACATCACAACAATCACGACCCAACATCACGACAATCACGACCCAACATCACGACAATCACGACCCAACATCACGACAATCACGACCCAACATCACGACAATCACGACCCAACGCCACTACAACCACGACCCAGTGTCATGGCACCCACGACCCGAGGAGGAGAGCGACACGGTAAACATGACCCAATACCACGTCAACCACGACTGCCACAGCAACCACACCCTGAGAAGCGCCACGGAAACTACGACCCAACGTCTCGTCAACCAAATGCCACGGCAACCACGACCCGAGGAGCAGGAGGACCTACAATCTGAGGAGGAGGGCGCTATGGCAACCACGACCCAGCACCAGGTCAACCACGACCCAACGTCTCGGCAACTATGACCAAGAGGACTAGGGCAAAACGGTAACCACGATCTAACACCAGGTCAACAACAACTTAATGCCACGGCAACCACACCACAACATAACGACAACCACGGCCCAACACAGAAACCACAACCTGAGGAGGAGGGTGCCACGGCAACCGCAACCCAGCACCATGGCAACCACAACTTTCTGCAGTCTGCACTAAAATCTGTATGTTTTGGGGTTTTTAATATAGAAACCAACCGACTGTCTGACGCTTTCCTCACCGCACACATCCCATTCAAAAAAACAGAGAACGCTTTTGTTTTGTTTTTGTGCAATTATCACCGGCACAGTGCGATCCCGCGGCAGTGACGTGGCCCGTCGTTTGAAGGGGTCAGGGTCAGGAAGACAAAGTTAAACAAAGTCAATTAGAAAACCTCATGTTTGCTGCGAGAGGTCGTACGCGCTGTCCAGTCCCATCGACAAACACAGAGCCAGAGCTGCAGACGTCACAGTATTTCACAGTATTTCACAGATTTCACAGTATTTGAGCCTCACCCTCTGTCGTCCTCCACCTGGACCCCCACAGAGGTGAACTTGGACGGGTCGTCTGGGTCCGGGATGTCGTCTGGACCGTCCACCTGCAAAACACAACATCTACTCACTGACAGGAATCTACAAGTCATCTGAGGTTAACATAGAGTTTAATGACATGGGCAATTTTGTTGAGACTTAATGATCCATTTTATTTATTGTTTTGGTTGTGTTTGGTTCAACAATGTTTTATTCAAGTGCATTTTTGTGAACAAGTCCTCGCTGTGAACCAGACACATTAGACTAGTCCTGTGTTTACAAGTCTGTATATTTAGGCCTGTTGTTTTTGGTTCTTGTACAGTTCCTGTGTTAAATGTTATTTAGAAAGTAAAGTTTATTGATCTCTGAAAAGGGTATATTTGTATTTTTATTCCATGGTCATTATATTAGTTGAAATTGGTCTCAAAATGTCAATATTATCTTTTATCACATGGGCCTGGTCAAGCAGAAGTAAACAACAAGGCCAAAAATTCAAGTTAATGCATCTGATATAAAAATGTATTGAACAGATACATATGTGCTCTAGTTTATGAAACTGTTGACCTTTTTTCTGTACCATTTTTGGTTCTAAAGTTCCATACGTTTTAAACAGACCATGTATGAAACATGGAACAAAAATTATTTCCCAAATTTCAAAGACCTGAAAATCATGTAAATAAATGGATGTATTTCATCATATCTTGTGTTATTCCATCTTTGAACTGTTGATGAAGGTACATGATTTTTTTTAAAAATGTATTTAAAATGATAAAAATTTGCTTGGAAGGACTGACATATTTTATAGAAATAGTTTCCTTTCATTCTGAAGTAATATTAAAGTTTTTGGAAGAAAAAAGTGACAAATGATGTAAAATCCTGCACCTTCTACTTGTTGCACAATTTTCCCTCCGTTACTTTTCCCTCTGTTACCATGAACTTTCTTAATAAAAATCTCATTACTCAAAATGTAGAAAACTATATGAAGCAAATATTCAAACCAGTTTGTTAAGGATATGTAAGTGAGAACCAAGAGTTATCACTGTTTGGATTTATTGCCCAAAAAGTGCTGCATATTTCATTCCCTCCGTTACAGACATGAGTTTTTTAATTTTTTGTCAACAACTTGAAAGAATATCACAGGTTTAACTTGACCCTGTTGGAGTGTAACTCTTTCCTACATTCTGATACTTTACTTATTTCAATAGTTCCTCTAGTTTCTGAATAAGAGACATTTGAATGTCAAAAATCTGCCCGTTTCCCTCCGTTACCACTTGACCGGACCCCACAATAAATTCTTGGTCAATTAAAATCTATTATCGTTACACGTTCTAATTCCCAGACGTATTTTAAAGTCCCAAACCTGTATCCCGATGGAGAGACACTTCCCCTTCCTCAGCGCGTCCTTCCTGTAGTCGTCCGGCTCGTCCACCATCGATCCCCGGCTGATGACCGCCGGCGCGTGGGTCTGGAGGCCATGATGAGAGCCGTGAGAGTGAGCGGAGTGGGCGGGGGGGCCGTGGGAGAGGAGGGGGCGGGGCTATGGGAGCCGTGCGCGTGGGGGCGGAGCTATGCGAGCCGTGCGCGTGGAGCGGCTGTTGGTGGGCGGGGACGTGCGGCTGATGGGAGGGGCCGTGTGGGTGGTGGGCGTGGCCATGAGACAGGTGGGGGCCGAGGGCGGGTGCGGCGGCTGGGTTTGGTGGATGGGGTGGGACTGGTGGGACGTGAGGGGTTGGTGGGTTAGGTGGTGGTGGGGTTGGTGGTGGGGCTGGTGGTGGGGCTGGTGGTGGGGCTGGTGGTGGGGCTGGTACGGAGGCTGGTGGGTGCCGTGCTGGCTGTGGCTCACCTTCAGCGGGGCGTGGTTGTTGACGTGCTGACTGGCCGGACCGTGCACCTGACCCAAACACAAACACAAACACACGAATCATCAAATTAAAATCAAAATCATCATCGTTACGGCACATCACGAATCAGAATTTCAGTTTGTGTTGGTTCGTAAAAATAAAATTGTGAAATGAGTGAGTAAAAAAAAGGAAAGTGCAAAGCAAAACATTTCATGAATAAGATTTTATTTTGTAGGACTAAACCCAGGACTTGAACCAGGACTAAAACAGGAACTGAACCAGGACTAAAATACAGGACTAAACCAGGACAAAAACAGGACTAAACCAGGACAAAAACAGGACAAAAACAGGACTAAACCAGGACTAAAACAGGACTGAACCAGGTCTAAAAAAGGACTAAACCAGGTCTAAAATAAGACTAAAACAGGACTGAAACAGGACTGAACCAGGACTAAACCAGGACTAAAACAGGACTAAAACAGGACTGAACCAGGTCTAAAAAAAGGACTAAACCAGGTCTAAAATAAGACTAAAACAGGACTAAAACAGGACTGAAACCAGGACTGAACCAGGACTAAACCAGGACTAAACAGGACAGGACTAAAACAGGACTAAAACAGGACTGAACCAGGTCTAAAAAAGGACTAAACCAGGTCTAAAATAAGACTAAAACAGGACTAAAACAGGACTGAACCAGGACTAAACCAGGACTAAAACCAGGAACAGGAAACAACCAGGACTAAACCAGGACTGAAACAGGACTAAAACAGGACTAAACCAGGACTAAAACAGGACTAAAAAAGGACTAAAACAGGACTGAACCAGGTCTAAAAAAAGGACTAAACCAGGTCTAAAATAAGACTAAACCAGGACTGAACCAGGACTAAAACAGGACTAAACCAGAACTGAACCAGGACTAAAATAGGACTAAACCAGGACTGAACCTGGTCTAATCTGAGACTTTCACCTTTTTCCTAATAAATGTTCAGTTGATTGATGAACCTCCAGACCAGAATTTCAGTTTGTGTTGGTTTGTAAAAATTAAATTGTGAAACGAGTGCGTAATTTATTGGAGTTAATTTACATTTTAACAGGTGGTTTATTTTATGTTTAACAATTTTAATAAATAAAGTATCAGCGAGTGAAGATGCCGGACTTTTGCACCGTGACGAACGAGTGGAATAAGAAAACGAACAAAAGCAAAGAGCAAAGCAAAACATTTCATGAATAAGATTTTATTTTGTAGGACTAAACCCAGGACTGAACCAGGACTAAACCAGGACTAAACTAGGACAAAAACAAGATTGAACCAGGACTAAACCAAAACTAAACCAGGACTAAACCAGGACTAAACTAGGACAAAAACAAGATTGAACCAGGACTAAACCAGGACTAAACCAGGACTAAACTAGGAAAAAAACAAGATTGAACCAGGACTAAACCAGGACTAAACCGGGACTGAACCAGGACTAAACTAGGACTAAAACAGGAGTAAACCAGGACTCAACCAGGCCTGAACCATGTCTGAAACAGGACTAAAACAGGACTAAACTAGGAAACTGAACCAGGACTAAACAGGACTAAACCAGGACTAACCAGGACTAAACAGGACTAAACCAGGACTGAACCAGGACTAAACCAGGACTAAAACAGGACTAAAACAAGGACTAAACCAGGATTGAAAAACATCTACACTAGTACTGAACCAGGACTAAACTAGGACTAAAACAGGAGTAAACCAGGACTCAGCCAGGCCTGAACCATGTCTGAACCAGGTCTGAACCAGGACTGAACCAGGTCTGAAACAGGACTAAACGAGGTCTAAAATAGGACTAAACCAGGACTAAACCAGGATTGAAAAACATCTACACTAGTACTGAACCAGGACTAAACTAGGACTAAAATAGGAATAAACTAGGTCTAAAGCAGGACTAAACCAGGACTGAACCAGGACTAAATCAGGACTAAATCGGGACTGAACAAGGTCTAAACCAGCAGAGAACAAGGACTAAACCAGGAATGAACCAGGACTAAACCAGGACTGAACCAGGACTGAACAAGGTCTAAACTAGGACTAAACCAGGACTAAACCAAGACTAAACTAGGACTAAAATACGACTAAACTTGGTCTAAAACAGGACTAAAACAGGATTGAACCAGAACTAAACCCAGGACTGAACCCAGGACTGAACCAGGACTAAACCAGGTCTAATCTGAGACTTTCACCTTGTCCCTAATAAACGTTCAGTTGACTGATGAACCTCCCTCCTCCTCTGAACCTCAAATTTAGAATCAGAAAACCCCCAAATCTGACGCGTTTCCAGAACCGCTCGGCTGTACTTTCGCATTCGCTGATTCTCCGTCACACAGACCTACATCTCCACTAACCTCGTTCTGCACAAACTCACGAGTCCCACTGGCCCAGATTCTCCACAGCAGCGTCAGACCGGAGCTCAGGGACGAGAGGGACATTTCAACCTTTTATATCACGCAAAATTTACTCCTGTGAGCTTTGAGCAGTGTTGAGAAGGTGACTTTTAAAATGTATTCAACTACAGATTACAGATTACACACCCCAAAATGTAGTTTGTAACATAATCCATTAAATTACTTAAAGTGAGTAATGTAATCTGAATACTTTGGATTACTTGATTTGCTGTAGAGAAGCAAAGACGAGGATATTGTAACATAAGAAGTTTTGTCTGATAAAAGAAAATAAAAAGTCCAGACTTTACTGAACCAAATGAAAAATATTATTGATAGAATGGTCCTGTTAAATCCTGTTTTAGTACTGGTTTAGATCTAGTTTAGACCTGGTTTTAGACCTGGTTTAGACCTGGTTTAGATCTAGTTTAGATCTGCTTTTAGTCCTGTTTTAGTCCTGGTTTATTCCTGGTTTAGACCGGGTTTTAGTCCTTGTTTTAGACCTGGTTTAGTCCTGTTTTAGCCCTGGTTTTGTCCTGGTTTAGTCTTAGTTTAGACCTGGTTTAGATCTAGTTTAGACCTGCTTTTCAACCTGCTTTAGTCCTGTTTTAGTCCTGGTTTAGTCCTGGTTTAGTCCTGTTTTAGACCTGGTTTTAGACCTGGTTTAGTCCTGTTTTAGCCCTGGTTTAGTCCTGGTTTAGTCCTGTTTTAGTCCTAGTCCTGGTTTTGTCCTGGTTTAGTCCTGGTTTTAGACCTGGTTTAGACCTGGTTTAGACCTGGTTTAAATCTAGTTTAGACCTGGTTTAGGTTCCAGAAATGAGTGGAATTACCGAAAAAAAAAAAAAAAAAAAAAAAAGGGATATAGCTCTAAATGTGAAAAGAGGAAAATCCCACCGTGTAATCCATTTATTTCAACAAAGTAACTGTAATCCAATTACCACTCACTGAAACAGTAACTGTAACTGAATACAGTTACTCATAATTTGTACTCTGATTACTTAACTCCAGTACATGTAATCTGTTACTCCCCAACACTGGCTTTGAGTCATGTTCTAACTTTGTTCCCAGACCTGGACTTGTGTTTTGTTTCACTCACACACGTCTGTCTACATCTCCAAACCTCAAAACGCTCGGTTCCCCCTTGTGATGTCATGAAGTGCACAGCTCCTTTTATCTTTATTTCAGCAGAGATTGGGAGTTTCCAGATCTGAAATCATCCAAACGACTCAAGAAGGTGAAAGTGTTTGGAGTTTAAAAACACATTTGCTTACATTTTTTTACACGAGAGCTCGAATTGAAAATAAAAATGATTAAATTCTGAATAAAAATGTATTCCGGTTTAAAAGGACCGTGTAAACACTTATTAATAAAACGATTATTCAGAATTAAATTTAATGAATGAATGAATGAATTATTTATTTTATTTTGTGCATATATAACATAACAAAAAAAAAAAAAAAAAAAAAAAAAAGTAGGTACCAGAAGAGGGGAAAAAACTAAAAAGAAAAATTTTAAATACATAAAAAATATATTAAATTAAATTTAAAAAAAATTGAACATTATCGCTGTGCATGAAAAAAATAAAAATAAAAAATAAAAAAGATATTTACACACCTTAAATTAAATGAGATTCAAACGTGGATTAAAACACAATGAAACATCCACGACTGAATAATTATCAAACATGATCATCAAATATCAAACATTTCCTCAAACTCTTTTTCAACAATGTTTCTGATGCAACACAAACCAGATGTGAAAACTGCTCCAGAATTTCCCACCTCTGGATCAAAACAAAACTGAAGTCACATGAAACATGAAAATTACAAATTTGATGAGTTTTGTATCTATGAATCTCTGTAAAGTAAATGTTTGGTTTGTTCTGATTTTAAAGCTGAATGAATTTATTCCTGGATCATGTAAATGTTTATTCTCTTTATAAATAATGTTTAATGGACATTTTATTTTGTGTTCGAGTTCCTGCAGAACGAACTGTGAAGTCCTCAGACTTGTTTGACTTTGACTCTGCCTGGCAACAAATGATACTGAAATATGATTGGTCAAATGCTTTAATATGAAAATCCATGTGTGGAAGCAGCACAAATATCGGAAAAACTCTGAAAGGAAGAGGACAGACCGTTTGGAATTATTTAATAATAATATAATTAACATCAGTCTGTGATTCAGATGTTTTTTTTTAGACCAGCAGAGAAGGACTTGCAGGCCCAGACTCTCCACCACTTATGAAACGTATGAATAAACTAAAAATAATAAAACTTTTTCTTTTATTTGCTGGTTTGAATCCTTGTCTGTGAAGGATAGAAATAAACTTCTGAATATTGTTAAAACCTGCTCAAAAATCACAGGGATCAAACTGAGGGAGCTGCTCTTTGTGGGAGGAGCAGGTGTTGAGCAAAGCCAAGTGTCTCGTGGCTCAGCTCCGTCCTCTGGCTCCTGATTTTATCCTGATGCCTTCAGGGCGTCGGTTTTATGCTCCAATACGCAAAACCAACCGGTTTTCTAATTCTTTCGTGCCCTGTGCTATTAAATTATTAAATTCTAAGGGTACAATTTTATGATACTTTTATGAAAGTTTTACACTGCAATTTGTTATTTATTTTGAGTT